TGAGGTTTAGGGTTTAGGATTTAGGGTTTAGGGTTTAGGGTTTAGGGTTTAGGGTTTAGGGTTTAGGGTAGGGTTTAGGGACGGCAATATCTGCATTGTCACAGTAGCAATAACGATAAGGAAGCTCTTCCCGCTTTCGACCACAGCTGTTGATATGGACATATCTAATTTGAACCCCAAGCCACAAAAGTGCTGTTGAGATGGGAGTTGTGATAATTGGAGTAGGCTTGTGCTCACATGGTCACACCCATGGCCCCAACAGAATAACCCAAAGAATCTGACCAAGCTTTCCAGAACCCTTGCAGAACCCCAATGGAATGAACCCTAATACACCCTATTATCTTGATTCAGAAGCCCTCCCAGAACGCCCGGAACCCTAACCCGAAACCCTAAACCCTAAACCCTAAACCCTGAAATCGTAAACCCCAAACCCTACAACCCTCCCTCCCGCAACCACGAAAACGCCTCGGCCTGAAGGAGGGCCGCCTACGCGTAGAAGCTTTAGGGTTTAAGGCTTTAGGGTTTAGGGTTTAGGGTTTAGGGTTTAGGGTTAAGGCTTTAGGGTTTAGGGTTTAGGGCTTTAGATCAGAGTTCAGGGGTTTTTGTTTAAGGCACCTTTTTCCACCTAGCAGTTAAGGTCGGCGAAATCCACTGGAGTGGAAGGCTGAGAGTCTAGGGGTTTGAAAGTGGGTTTAGGGTATAGGGTTTAGGGTTTAGGGTTTGGGGTTTAGGGTTTAGGGTTTAGGGTTTAGGGTTTAACTGAAAGCTTGGGGTTTTGGGCTTCGGTTTAGGGCTTGGGGCCTAAAGCAGTGCCCAACAATTCGTGTCTTGACTTGCTGACAGCCTCTCCAAACATAGCCCTACCTGTGCTATCTCCAGAAGCACCATGCGAAGTCTCCAGCGAACCTTAGAGGGAGGATCCTGGTGCAGATCGATGCTTGGAGTATTCCGAAGTGTCCTTACCCTTCACAAACTGCAAAAACTTGAGCCGAGCCCCAGACGACATCTGACCATTATGATGTAAAAATGATTAAGGTGATGGCCCGGTGATGGCAAACTTGAGCTTATTCCAATTATCCGTTTTTGTAGATCAACGGTCTGGATGCGTCAAGGGGCCTGTACCTTTGAACAGTACTAGTTGCCACTACTAGTCACGGCGCCAGTAGATGTAGCAGAAAAGTTAGTTGCGGCAGCAAGAGCGGGTTGAGAAGCTAAGCACCATCCCGGCAATACGACTCGCTGTAGCAGCAACGACAACCAAAAATACACAGTACTAATGCACAACGAGCGTAGTAGTTGCTTAATTAACGCTGATCATAAAGCAGCCATAGCAACAGCAATGTTCATCATCGTGAAGGAGACTCACAAAAGGTACAATTCGTCTGAAGCAACGAAGTCCCAGTCTGATACAGTCGGCTCAACAAGCAGACTTATTATACCAGAAATGTAATCAGGAACCCCAGTATAGTATTGGTAAGCAATTCGGCCCGCATTTTAACCTGGAACCCTCTGTCCAGATGCACCTGTCCGAAGTCAAGCACATGAAAACCTTGGCCGAATGAGGGCATGGCAGTTCTAGTTCATGGTTGGGGTAGTATTAAAAATTTAAATTTATGTTCCTTATTGGGTTTAAGTACCTTTAAACATGTAAAATGTTACCCAACTATGACAAAGAGTTCTTGTGGCATCTTCCGAGGGCGGTTCGGTGGTTGGTCGCTTCGCGGCTAGGGTGAAGGAAGAAACTTCCGAGGTTTAGGTCCGTGATTGAATTTAGGGTTAGGGTTTAGGGTTTAGGGCCTAGGGGGTTGTGCAGTTGCTAAGTATTGAGGCTTGGAGATGTCTTGAGTGATGGGGGCAAGGCTTGGAGGGTTTTGGAATCGCATGAACGGCAACTGTTATACGACTGACTTGTCTTGAGATCAGATTTGGGTTGGCTGGTACTTACCAAGACTAATTCGGGGTTCCTAATTGTAATTATAGTGTAACAGGCCCCCAAGCCCTTTTCTTTCTAATTGCTAAGGCCCCGCAGTAGGTCTTCATAAAAAGCCATCAAACGAGCCGGGATGGGTAATGCAGGTGCACACGCCACCTTGCAGCTGGTGCGAAATGGACATATGCAGTGTCGGGAGCACAGCCTCACATGATTCATGGCCAGCATGCAAAGTGGCAAGCATGCATTGAATCAAGTGTGACCAGGCAGTTATCACGGCTGCAGGCAAGATGACCTACACCGCGCGAAAGCTGGTCGATAGCTGTCTGCATCACAGGTCCCCATGCCAAGCGATCAGGCAAACTCGGATGGGTAATACAGATGCAAGAACGCTTCACACCGAGTGCGACCACGGTTCAACGCGCTCTAGACGGGATCGAGAGGGACGCCAAACTGTGGCCAGGCGATTATCACGGATGAAGGATAAGCGACCTATTCCGGGAGAAAACTGGTCGACAGCTGTTTCTGCATCACAGGTCCCCATGCCAAGCGACAATGCATCCTCGGATG